ATCACTGGAGGCACTTAGAACCTCGAAGCTTTTTTATTTCACATGCTCATCAGGTGTCTCTCCCACTACCCCGCTCTGTACCTGCCTGGCCCTACACCCAGACGAGGGGAGGGTCCCTCTCCCGCAAAAAGGCACTGCCTGGAGCCAGGAGCTCCCTGGCCCCAGAAAACCTCCGGTGATAAATTATGCAGCAGCACCTTTGTGTCGCTGCCTCTCAGCCAGATGGGAGGTTTGCTCCCAGTCTTTTGTTTCCGGCTTTGCTCGCAGCTCTGATCCTCGGCTCTGCGCAGAGGTGAGGGGGGAGCTCCCGTTGGCCAAGTCAGGGCTTGCAGCAAGTCCCAGCAAGGCTTTCCCCAGCTGGGTCTCAGGCAGCGCCCTTCCTCTCCTCACTCTAACCTGAATGAGCAGAGAAGCAGGGCATTAGCAAAGCTTACAGTCAATCCACTCAGCTGTGAGCAAGGATGGGAATGCCTACGTGCAGGAAAAGAATGAAGTTTGCTCACAAGGGCGTAAGAGGTGCCCAAGGGCACCTAGGATGTTTGCTTCTTGCTAAATCAAAAATGCAGAGCAGAAAGTGGAGTCAAACAACCACCAGGAAAGCTAGAGAATCAGCTCTTTTCAAAGGCTGCTCTTGGTTACGGTCAACTTTCCGCAGCCCCCCAAACATCACATCACTAGCACCAACTTAAAAGGAAGAAACAAAGAGACAACAGGGGTCAAACTTTGGGGTGGAGGAGCTGGGGGCTGGGGGCGAGTCGTGGGCTTGAGACCCACATCAATTATCCCGGCACACTGACAGGATTCCTGATGGAGGACGGTAGTCATGAAGGAAGGCGGCCCGCAAGAGCCCAGCCCCCAAATTGCGGCAATTACTACCTTATGAGCTCCGGGGCCTGACTCCTTTCCCAGGCCAGTGGGAGGGAGAGCTTGGAATTCTAAACTGTTCCAGCTATAAGAGACCTCAGCCAGCACCTCTCACCCCGGGTCACAGCAACCTCAGAGTGAGATGCTTGGCTGCATCCCTGACCACAGGGCTTTTAACAGCGAAGCTCTCAGAGGAAAGCCCCATCTCCCAGGACCTCTCCCAGGAGAGCTAAGGCAGGGTGGGCTCCCTAGACTCACGGTATAGCTTAACAGATCTCTCTACTGGAAGTGTGGACAGGAAGGAACCACGGTTAGGTTTCACTAAGTTTTCAAGGGGAGAAAGAAGGGACAAGATCTTTAAAAGAGAAAAGCAAAAACCAGCTGAAATGAATGAAGGGCGGAGTCTCCATTTCAGCACATGATGTTGTAGTATGCGGATTTGTTTACCTGGCTCCCACGGTCCAAAGGCAAGCACCATCTCTAATGCACTTAGGCAAGCTTGCTAACAAGCAGCTAACGTTTATCCAAGCCTACTGTAACACGGTAGTTGTCAGGCTCTGCTTTGAATGGTTTGAACATACTATGATCTCATTTAATTTTTACAATATTCTCACTTGATAATTTATTACTACTCCACGTCTCCCGTTTACAGATAAGAACCCTGAAGTTGAGGAAGATTAAATACTTTGCACAGAGTCACAAAGAAGTGCCGCAGCCAAGATTCAAACCCAGGTCTACCTGTGCTTCTTAATCACTGAGCTATGTACACGGCGATTAGATTAGTGCTTGACAAATGTGTGTTTGCTGAATGAATGAACAAATGAATGGGTGCAGAACCCAGTTCTGGGAATGCTCCTGAGTATACTGGGGAGAAAGAAACTGACCCTGCCAGCTCTAAGCTGAAGGGAGAGCAGCAAGCACAGGCATCCAGCACAGCTATTTATAGGACCCAACCCGGACTCTGCCAGCCAAACAGTCAGCGTGAAGTCTTTCCTGGGACACTGAATCCTATACTACTGAGCTGAAAAGGGGAGAAGGGCTTCCGATGCTGAAGATGAGCTGGCAATCCAGACGCAGTCTGGGGCCCAGATGCCCCATGCCCGGGCAACTGACAAAACTTGTGGATAAGTTTCATCAAGGAATGTGGAGACTAGGCTGGAACAGGCTAACAGACCCAGTCGACCAAGGGCATGGAACTGTTCATAATTAGGAGATGTGCCCAATCATAAAAAAAGAGAAGACTACTTCTTAAAGTAGTCCCCCAAATTCTGTTCCTATTCAGGAAGCTCCTAGTATTGATCTTCTCTTCAATGGAAAAGCAACATAGCCAAATCCCACCCATTTTCCTTCTCCTTAAGGATCAAGCTTAGCAGTCAATCAGTAGAAAGAGTGAGCAAAGATCTATAAACCACTCTGTCCTCTGTGACCTCCTGTCTTCTTTGCTGGCCCAGAAGATGGACATGCCAACGTGCTCTGTCAGATACAGCCAGACTTGGTTCCCTTGCACCTGTCATTCTTAATACCATGTGCCAGTCCCAAAGATGTTATCTGATATTCAACAGGGGACATAAGAGGAAATCCAAAATCAGTGACAAGCCAAGCATCTTTCCAAGTCCAATAAGATCAAGGACAAGGTCAAGCAGCATGACAAGAGTCAGATGGAAAGCAGACCACTCTCAGCTCTACTCTTTTGCATTCATCCTCAAAAACAACCTTCTATCTACCTAAGCACTCCTGGGCAGAATTTTCAACTCTTTGCTTATCTGGAAGAAACCTCAGAGACAAACATGGTTTCTACTCTTCAAATGGTGCTAGATTGTCAGAGGCCTCACCTCAACCCTCAGGAGGATACGCAGGGCTGTTATCAGCAATCAAATTTCCTTCCAAAAATCTTTAAGGGAGGAGTGTTATGTAGGCTCAGCCACACACACAGGCTCTAGGAAAAGTCCAAAGGACTAGCAGAAACCCAATAAGCACTTAAATTTTAATGTCTGGAATTCACTCCTAGCTGAGGTCAGATCTGCCTAACTGATCTACTGTGACACGCTGTCTTCTCCCTGAGCCCCTGGAACACAGTGTCAGGGACCCTCGTGGTGATATTTTTGATTGAGCAACTTCTCACTCTCTCCAGTGAACCATGAATCTGTCCCCTCCAGTCCTCCCAGGATGGCTCAGTGTCAGGCTAGGCAAAGTTTAGCTCTTCGCGCGTCTCCTTACGCATGCGCACAGAAAGCCCCCCATGCTTAGAAGTTTCTATTAAACTTTTTGTCCTTAAAAAGAACCCAAAAGAGTTACCAAGAACCCTCCCATCCTTTTCCCGTGAATCATTAAATATACACAATTTTCTATCCCCATTCTTGATGCGGATGGAGTGTATGCAGTTTTGACAGCTCCGGAGCAATAAAATCCTCTTGGCCTGTTTGAGTCCGGAACCTTCCAGCTCCCCTTTCCCTAGGGCAGAAGGCGACAACCTCCTCTCTGGCTTTGTTGGTATCCGTTTTAGTCCTTTTTTTTTTTTTTTTCCCCCAGTGTCGTGCCATTTCCCTTGATCTTTTTCAAAACTTCCTCCAGGGGGCCGAGAGGAAAGTTCCATCTCCTTCCCTTGCAGCCCGAAGGGGGAAACCCCCCAAAAAGCATAGCTGTCCCTTTAAGGGGCCCATGTGGTGGGAAGAGCAGCTACATTCCTACCCCAGTAGGGCCGCTGTCCCGACACGCCAAAGAGGCTACAAATAACCTTCTAGGAGAGCCCGGGAGGGGGAGAGCACAGTGAGAAGAGGAACGTGGGTCGGCCAGGCTACTACTCGGAGAGGAGAGAAAGAGCTCAGTCGGCGTTAGAGGGGGCTTGGAAAAAGTCATTTAAAACCCACGGGTAGTTTAAACGACGGACACGAGAGCTCTGTTTTGGATTTGGGAGGTAAACCAATCCTTAAAACAAGCGCCCAGGCATCTCCACGCCCTGCCAGGCAAGTTCCGAAATCTACACTGACAGTTTCCACACGAGCTCCCTACGTTAAAGAAAGACCCGGGGCGAGGCCGGGGTCTGCAGACTCCTCCATTCCGAACCCCACCCGCCCATCCGGGCTGCGGGGAGAATGGGAAGATTGGGATCTCCCCCGCGGTTGAATAGCGGTGGGTGAAGAGGGTTGGGGTTCACAGATCAAAGTTCTCTGATCCTTGGGCACAAACGAGAGGCAGCTGCTAAATCACGGGGTGCACCCACCGTCCCAGGCGGCTGAGGAGAAACAGATTCCGCTGGAGCCCTAATCACACACAACAGTTGCATACGGGCACCAAACAAGTTATTAATAAGGAGCAGATGAAGCAGCAGTCCTGCGGCCATCCGTCTGGCTCCCCCGAGGGCCACCGCGCGGGCCGGGAGCCTGCCTGCTCAGGCGCTGCCCGCCCCCCGCCCCTCAACCCCGGCCGGGACAGATCCGCGGGAGCCTTCCAGCAGTTTCTTCCCTCTGTCCCTCCTCTGCCCCTTTTCCAACCCAGTTCCCCCCTCCCCCGCTCCGAGAAGGATCCAGGGCACGAAGCTGATTGGTTGCAGCCAGGAGAGGGAACCCAAAACACCACTAAGGGGAGATGCTGCGAGCAAGCAGTGCCCAAAGACCCTCAGTGGGAGCAAGGTCTGGATCCGAGGAACCGTTCCTCGGGTAGAGAAATCTCCAGAGCCCAAGCATTCAGATTCCCCGGGAGCCCCTCTCTGCAATTCGCCCGAGACGCCCAGCCCGTGGAAGGAGGGCTATTTACAATTTATGGTTTAGCGACCATCCTTCCCCGCCTCCCTTTCTTCGGGCACATTCACGCGCACCAAGGACACAGAGACTCTGTCTTAACCTGAAAGGGAAGCAGTCCCCAGCTCTTCAAAGAGCAGCGAGGGAAGGCGAGCGCGCGCCTCGGATCGTCCCCCAGCCAGACCCACACCCGAGCCCGGGGGAGCTCCGCCACCGCTGCCCCCTCTCGGACTCAAGGCGCTGGGGGAGCTCCCGCGCCCCTCCCTGGCATGCAATCTCGGGGCTACTGCTCGGGGTGCGGGCGAGGGGTCTCAGGCCCCAGCCTGCGCCGTCCGGCTCTCGGGAGGCGAGTCCTGCAGCGGCCGGACCCGGGACAAACTTTCCGGCGGCGCCGCTTACCGTGTGCGCAGAGCAGGGCGCCAAGCAGCAGCGCGCCCCACGGCCGCCTCATGGTGCCGCGGCCGCCGCCGGCGCTCCCTGCCGGCCGGGGGTCCCGCCGGCTCCCGCGGGACGGCGCGGCGGAGGCAGTCGGCCGAGGGTCCCCGAGGGGAAGCCTCCCGGTCCCCGGCGGCGGGACGCGCCCCGCAACTCGCCCTCCGGCCGCTGCTGCCTCCAGTGCTGCCGGAGCCGAAGCCGCCCTGCCAGGGGACCTGGAGGGGGTGTCCCGGGCCCGGCCGCCCCGCCCCCCGCGCCGCAGCCCCTGCCACCGCCACCGCGCCTGGTCCCGCCCCCAGCGCCGGCCCGGCCCCTTCCCGCCCTCGGCCCCCGCCCCCCGGCCCCCGGCCCCCACCCGCCCGCGCCTCCCGCGCTCGCCCGGCTCCCCTTCGGGCCGCCCCCACATTCCTAGCCCTCCAGAGAGCCCCCCTCCCTGCCCCCATTACTACTGCTCTGATGTCCCTAACTTAAAAAAAAATTATCCTAGTGGCAACTCTCGGATCCCGCTCACGCTAGCCCTATGCCAGAGAGGAGCACCCGGGCTGACCCAAGTCGCCTGGACGTGACCCCGGCCCCCCTACCGGCCCCGAGTCCAGACTTTATTGATGTCTTCGAATTCGCAAGGCTTGCTAATGCATAATCCTCTAGGTCTTTATTGACACCAAACAAGAGACATCAGGGGGCCGGGAGTGCTGTATCTTAACTAGCATTCTCACTGTCAAAATTCCTTTTCCGAGATTTTTCTTCTTGCTCCACTGCCCCATCCCCCCCCTACCCCGGTCCAGGCAGCGTGGTTCTAGGGCTAAATAATTCCACGACGTCCCCTTTTCATTTACTCATTTCCTGAGGTGGTTGTCTGGGTCCTGTCGCCCCAGCCAGACGTCCAGAATTGGCGCAGACAGACTTAGTTCCTCCTCGCTGTCTTTGTAAATCAGCGCTGTTAGCCTCTTCACCTTCTTTGACTTTCTGATCCTGGCAAGGAAGGAAGGGGGTGAGGAAGTAAGTCTTGCCTTCAGTTGCAGTTTCCCGAAGACCTCAGCCTCCTCCCAGCTTCAGTGTGTAGAGTCTCCCAGCAGTATTTAACTTTTAAGTCACTGCATAAAGTTGTAACTCCTCTCTTGTCTTAGCTTAGTGGCCTATGCCTCTCCCCGGTGCCAATTAATCATATGGGTTAATTTTGTCACCACCTTCCATTTTCTAGGTGGAATCTTGTCTTGGTACTTCTGTGCAAATCCTCAATTTCTGTAGGATCCTGTGTATCACTCCTCTCTCCAAGCTGGTATGCTAACGTTTCCTGGCTTTGGCTGTTCTGTGGGATTTTGTTAAACCACTTTCCTCTCACTAGTAAACTGAGTCAGGAAGACTGAACCGCCCCATGTTAGCTAAGGGGAAAGTCTTTGGTATAGTGCAAAGAGGATATTAGGAGATTTCTCCAATGGATGGGTTGACATTGCATCCTTGCTTGTTTTCAATTTTTCAAAGGCTTTCGCTTCCAATCACCATCTTTAACCAAAGCTAACATTACTTTGCACCAGCAACCAAAAAACGTGAAGTTTTACCTCTTTCTTGACAAAACTTCTCCATACTGTTGTGTTGCCTGAAATTTTTACACAGATAAAATGTGGTGAACTAACATCACCATGGTAACTAAGAGTGAGGCATTTTCTGTGTGTGTAGTTCTTCTTGCCGACTGAAGGTGGCAGTCGAGTCAGGTCAGGTTTCCGTGATCTTACTGCTGGGCAAGACGGTCGACCTTTCCCGCCGGTGTCACCTTAGCCCAAAATCTAAGGAGAAAAAAGTGAAAAGTAGAGACTAATTCTCAACACACATACACCCCCATGAATGTTTTTGAGGCAGTCTTGGTTGGTTTCAGGGTTTCAGTATGTTTTGCTTATGAAGACTTGCTTTTCGACCTGTTGAGAAAGACCTTGGGATTCTGGAGACCATATTTTGTTTCCACATGAAAACTAAGGACATGTGGTATAATGAATACATTTGTCCCAAAAAATCCAGGACAGGCGGTTACCATACTTTCAATGTCAGGGGATTAAGAATTTATAAACAGTTTCCACTCTGTATGCAAACGACAGGTTCCTTTCCAGAAGGCATGATTTGTGTTGTTTTTCTGGGATTGAGGAGGAAAAGGGAGACCGGCTGTCCCTGTCTGACTCAGGCCCGAGGGACTGCGTTTTCTGTGTGCATCCCAAGACCTCGTCCTCCATGGTCCAGCACAGTTCTTGTGCACAGAGCCATCCCTGGCTGCCGTGAGTCACTGGAACATCAATGGGCAGAAACGAACTTCGTGCATAGTCCCTGCCTGGGTCACCCCCTAGGGTGAGTTAAGTCTTGGCTGTCAGAAACTACTCTTGTGCCAGGAGTGCTAAGCGATATTTATTTTTACCAGGCCTCTCAGACTTTCTTGTTGGGAGTGAGAGATCCTGCAAAGCATGCCAGAATGGGCTGTTTGTCTCCCTTTTATTGTCCTCTGGGACATGCCCCTAGAAAAGTTGTGGGGGACTGCCAATCCCAGAGGGGTCTCAGAGGCACTGGTTTCCTCAGAAACACCACCCCTTTCCTTCATCCTTCTAGGACAGACCAGGGAACCAAATTTCCAAGATCAGAATATTGCCCTGAATTAGACCATCACTAATGGCCTTTTCAAAGGAAACGCAGAGAGTGCTACAGAAACAAGATAGAAGTGAGCACTGTTTTGATCCAGTTGGGTTGGTAGCCTTCTCTCATAACCCAGACATCATTCAACAACCTGAATTTCCAAATGTAATCCTTCTAAAAGAGTAAAAGGCCTGAAGGTTCACACTTTAAAACAGAGGTTCTCAATCAGAAGTGATTTTGCGGACATGGGACAATCCCTGGGGCCATTTTTAGGAGTGGGTATTATAGCAAACAATAAGACCAAGGATGCTGCTCAGCATCCTCCAAGGAGGAGGACATCCCCCCCACCCCCCGCAACAGAGAATGATCCAGCCCAAAATGTTCATAGTGCTGAGGTTGAGAGACCCTGATTTAAAACATTAAGAACATGAGTCTGCAAAGAATTGCTGCATCTTCTCTCTAGAATCACTTTCTTGTTAAGGCAATGTGAATGGAGGGAAGGAGTTCTTAAAGCTGTAGAAGGGAAAACAAGAGAAAGCACAGCTAAAGGAGCTAAAAGAGTCCTATATCTGTCTGCCTAGGGAGCCTATTTCCAGCATTCATTCACTTAGGAACAGTAAGTATTGATTAAGAGTGTATTATGTGTCAGGCACTGTGGAAGCAGTGGTAAAAGATATATTGAGTCCCTGGAACGGACAGTCTGATGGTTGGGGAAGTTACAAGTATGCAGAGGCATTAAAAGAATGAGCTCATGAATGATTTTAAAACTACAGATGATAGGGGCATTCAAGGAAAAGTGCAGGGTTCTATGAAAGGAGGGACTTGATTTAGATTTATGGGTTCAAGGAAGGCCCGGTAGAGCACTGACACTTAAGTGGTAAGCGTCCTCAGGCTAAGAGTAGGTGGGGAGAGTCTTCTAGGCAGAAGGAACAGTATGTGCAAATGCCCTGAGCCAGGAAAGAGTCTATAAGATTTATGGAAAGGAATGATTAACTTTTAGCAATGGGTGTGCTTTTATCTAGGTTCAGGGGGCTACTCCTGGAGACTGGGGAAAAAAGGAAAGTATAAGAGAAATAGCCTTATTTGCATTTCTATGCCTTCTTTAATTGCAAACCCTCCACGCCACTATTCCTAGTGCCAACACTTTTTTTGGGGGGGGGGGGAGTGAGGAAGATTGGCCCTGAGCTAACATCTGTGCCAATCTTCCTCTATTTTGTATGTGGGATGCTGCCACAGCGTGGCTTGATGAGTGGTATGTAGGTCCATGCCCGGCATCTGAACCTGTGAGCCGTGGGCCACCAAAGCAGTGTGTGCAAACTTAACCACTACACCACTGGGCCCGGCCCCAACACTTCATGTTCCAGCTCAGCAGTGGTACTTGCATCAGGAATACAGGTAGGAAGGCTGATTCAATTCCCTGGCTTAACTTAGGGGACACCCTGAAAAGTGGGACTTTCTAACACATTTTAATCTCCTGAAAGCTTGCTATTCAAATACTTGGCACACATAAGTAGAGCCTTTGCAGCAAAAATCTCAGTATATCTTACTTATTTCAGCAGCAAAGATAAACTTAGAATGGTGGGTAAACAAACAGATCAATGAATAAATACTCATTTAATAACAACCATGAATCAAACATCTGCATAAACCGTCTCTCTCTGTCCGCACTTGCCCCTTTACAATTCATTCTCTATGCAGCAGCCAGAGTGACTTCTTAAAACACGTAAATCAGATATGTCGTTACTAGGCTTAAAACCTTCCAGTGGCTTCCTATTGCACTTAGAATAACACCCACACTTCTCACATGGCCTTCAAGATCCTTCATGATCTGGCCTCTGCCTACTTCTTCAGCCACTTTTCCCCTTACTCATTCTGCTCTAGCCACTCTGGCTTTCTTTCAGCTCTACAACATGCTCTCATTTCCGTCTTGCAACTTGTCACAAGCTGTCTCCTCTCCTTGAAGGCAGCTTCCCCAGACTCTTCCGTAGCTGGTCTCAGCTCAACGCTGCAGCCTCAGGGAAGCCTCATCTTACCACCCAAAGGTTGCCTTCTTCTCACTCTGCCTTTACTCTGTTTTCTTTAGGAGACTGGATAAGGTTTCACGGAGGTGGTGGCATTTTGCCTAGGTCACATAAGGGTGTAAGAGTTTACTACGCAGAAAATGTGGGAGAGGTACATTCTAGGTGGAGAGAAGAGCTTATGCCAGAACAAGGGGTAGCGAAAGAGCTCGGTATGTTAGGAATAGTGAGTAGGAGCATGTAGCTGGAGTATTAAGTATGCAGGGAAGAGCGAATGGCAAGGTGGCTGGGAAAATAGGTTGAGACCAGACTGTGAAGGGATATATATGCATGGTAAGGAATTTTGCTTCATCCTAAAAGTCGTGAGTCAGCAACACTTTTTAAGTAAGGAAGTAACAAAGTCAAAGTTTAATTTTAGAACAATGAACTTTTGTAACAATGTCGAGGGTGGCTTGGGGAGACAAAATAGACACAGAGCTCTAAGGCTCTGCGACAGCTTTTTGTCCTCAGATTCTGAAACTTGGGAACTTCTAGTTCATATCCTAAGTTTATTTAATGATTCTAGC